TTTTCTTCGAAAAAATGTCGCGAGAAAAACTCCCCACTCTCATTTTCCTGTACGCCTTCCACGTCCCCCTGCCCTGGGAAGTCTGCACGACTTCCCAGGCTCAAGCATTGGGGTAGAGCGGTACAACTTTACATAGACTTGCAGGGCCGAATTAGGGAGTGTCATGTCTGCCAACTGCGCTAGTCCGTCGTTCAAGTAAATACGCGCGGTTTTCGAGGCGGCCCACCGCCCCTGGACTAGCAATCGATCGAACGATCCGTGCTGGTTGAACCAAAACGTGGCCCCGCCTCTCCTGAGGCTGTAGGGTCTGAATTCCAAGGGGGTCAGTCGCAATGCCTCTATGGCGTTGGCAAACAGGGAACGCCATGCATGAGGCTTCGGTGTTAAAAATTGCATGGGACGAGCAACTTGTTTCCACCTATACAATGGGCCCAGTACAGACTCTTCATGCAGGGTGATGCTCTCGGCCGCTCCTTGCCGAGCGCCCGCCTTCGTCAAACCGAGGGAGAGAACGGCCGGTCCCTTGGGAGATGGGATAAAGACGTCCTTTGCTTTCAAATCCAGGAGCTCTCCCGTTCGCAAAAGGCCAAAGAAGGCAAGGCGCAAGGACAAAGCCATAAGAGGCATCTCTTTCATAAGGAACCATCCGCACATAGCGTCCAACACCTGAATTGTCATGGGAGGAGCTCGTCGTGGTACTTCTGCGGTAGACCATGCCTTTAGCAGCCTCCAACTGCCTGCAAGGCGACGCTTGAGGCCAGGTTCCTTGTCTTGCAAGGCCGCCAGGGTATTGTTCGCCACTGAGCGGCTTGCCCCTGTGGCCCAGAGGAACTCAAGATAATCCGATACAATATGGTCCATGGCTTGAACACGCTTTGGGAGAATGAGACCCTCCCCTGCCAGCCAATCCATAAATTTATCAAGGCAAGTCTGATAGCGTTCACGAGTTCGGGGCTGCACTGTCAATCCTTTCAAAGTGCCAAGTTGCTTCCTGACTTTGATGCGCTGTTGTTGACTACGGCCTTCTATCACTTTTGCGGCTTTCTTACCCATTTTCTCCTGACAGGCCGCCGCGAGGGTTCTGGTGCGTGTCCACGTACGACCACGCACCCACAGAGCCGCTTGCCAACAACAATGCACCAATCTTTGCCAGGGTCCGTCGAAGCTTTCGACTAGATGATCGACCTCGCGAAAGGGCGTGCAACACCACCAAGGAATCCACAAGGTGAACGAAACGCACTGGCCCTTCATGCAACTCCTTAATCCGCCAAATAAGACTTGTCTTGACAGCCCGCAACTCAAGGGCATTTATGTGCTCAGGATCACCGGTCCACCTCCACCCAGTGACATCACGCCAACGCCACAACTTGCTTGGGAGGGAAGCCCGCAGGCGATGATAGCGGGCAGGAATACCGGTGTTCATCTGCAAAAGAATGTCCTCCCCTTTCACAGACACTTGGCCCAAGAGTTTGCGAACAAGGCCTGGCCCAGGTTGTGTTTCCCGTGTTTCATGGCGAAGGGGCGCACGCAGCAACAAACCTGCAAGTTCAGAGGCATTTCCTGGCGCGAGACGATTGACAATGTCCTGCACCGTCAGAGGCGGCATCCACCCAAGCAACCGAAACAATGAATGGAGCAGCACGCCAACAACAGGCACCGACCAAGAATTGCCAAGAAGGCGCAACCGACAATCGTTGTGTTCAGCGGTTCCTTCCTTGCCTTTGACCATGCAACGACGAGTATACTCGAGAGGAAACCCCATGATGACCTCCCGTTCACGGGCGGATGGCACACGCAAGTCCCCCTTGCTGTTGGATACACAGTTCTCAGCACGGTACTGGTATGGTGGGAACCTGTGAGCATCAGATTTCCACCGAGCAACAGCATCCGCAGGACACAAGGCCAGCCCTGCGGGCTTGCGCCCGGGCTTCACCGAAGGTCTGGCAGTTGTAAATGTCGGAAATGGAGCGTCTTTGTTCACTCGCTTCCATCCTGCCTCCAGGAAGTCGTCCTCACACACTTGCGCCGTGAGCAAAATAGTCCCTCGCACTGGGAGGCCACGGGCCTGCCCTTCCACGACATTGCAACCTGCCTGTGGCAAGATATCCCAGTCACACCAGTATAGTCGCGGCCGCCTGGCCAAAGAGATCCCTCCAGCATCTACAAGCCATGGCTCCATCTGATAGGCGGAGTTCATCGAAGTACAATCCTGTCCATCCATGGAGGCCACGTTCTCAATCAACCGATAGGTGGGGCACCATCGAAATACCCGTTTTACCAACGCTTCAATCCTGGGAACCTCCTGAAACAAACACGACCGGGCATCGCGCATGGCTCCCTTGCGATCTGCGTTCAATCCTGACACGCCTTGGCAAGGTGGCCCTGCTCCTAGAATCACCAAGGACACCGACGCGAACTTCATGGACCACTCCGCCACCATCTCAAGGCTGACCTGAGCCACGTCCTGGATCCTAATCACATCAGGAAAGAACGATTCTACCACCCTGCTAGCAGCATCATCAATCTCTACTGATATGTATCCAGCAACCGGGATCCTCAAGCAATCCAGAGCAACCCGTAAGGCGCCGATACCATCAAACAGGGAGATGACGAGGACCTGATCCATCTCATCCGGGGCTAGAATATCCCCTCTGGCCTCTGCCTGTGATGCGGCCATTCCATAGGGACTAACACCTCGGGACACGCATAGACCACCTCCTGTCGTAGACGCGTCACTGGCCGTCACATACCCTGACACCGGAAGCCGAAAATTCATGAATGCCAACGGACACAGGGCGATGAACCGGATCAACTCAAGTTCTACATCCTTCCCCAGCAGGTGCCGGACATGGCTCCCTACCTCCTTCATGCTGGTGATCTTCCTCCAGATGGCATTCAAACCTGAAAGCAAGGGACGACGGAACATGGCAATGTAGACAAAGCCTCCTCCAATCACCTGCAGCTCTCTCCGGGTGGCCTTGCCTGCGACGACTGCTTCACACGCCAGTCCCAAATAGCGAGCGACTTTGGAATATTTGGGAGCTGCTGTGCCTTTGCTCCCATCAACCCAAGCCCCTTGAACTTCTGCAGCGCTGGCCTGCTCGACTGCTTTCTTTGGGTGACGGGGTAGCCCCAGTGTAGTGTAAGTCTCACGGATGGCCAAGGTCCAATCAGACGGCGTTCCTTCAATCAGCCCTGCCACTCGGCGATCAACCTTTTGTAACTCATCAAAGTTGTCCAGATACACCCGGAACAGGCGGTCCGCCCTACTGCTGACGCGATCACGCCTGATCTCCTGATGCCTGGTGGCCAAACCCGTGTCTGCATACAAGGCTTGCGAAATGACTTTCCGATGCACGTGTTGGGCGATTGCGACTGAGTTCACAAACCCCATAGGCAGCACTCTAGTTACTAGGTGCCACCCTGCTCCTTCATGTCCCGCTGGGAGGGCCTCACGCGGTACCTCCCTTGCAAATCCCATGTAGGGCCACCACTCCGGTGGTGTCTGGAATAAATAAAAGAAACACCGAATATCTTCTGAAGATGTCAATAGGAGCTGATCGTCGTCAAGAATGATGGATGACAGCCCTACAACCGTAGGTAGTGTGCATGTATCTCCAACAAGGTTACGGCAGATCGAATTGGTAGGGACCAGGTTCATGATCAGCCTACAGACCTCAAATTCAGTGCCATCCGGTCCAACCCCCTTCTCACCTTTCTCGACAGCAAAAAGACCATTCATCAAGGGTCGTCCGTTAACGTGGTGCAGCTCCTCCCTCTTCATCAAACCACACACACCCCGAGCAACCAACCCCCGGCAGACCTCGGCCCAGTCGCTGGGGTCCACCATGATCGCAGGCGCTTTTCCAATGTGCTGGTCCTGAGGCGGGAGGAGGCTTTTCTCAAAGTTGACCACGTACTCAAGCGTCCCTTGTTCACAAAAGTCCGTCAACCTCAAACTACCTACACCTTCAGGTAGGGCTGCCTCCACCATCTGCCAGTTGAACCTTCGAGCAACCTTGACCTCCTCGCCGGAATAATCCAGGGTTTTGGTCCGGAAGAACTCCTGAAACGGAATGTGGTCCCACTTTTCCTTAAGCAAGTCGCACTCCACGAGAACACCCTCCAGTTGAAGAACAAGTTCACGACTAACCTTCTTTGACCTCCCCTTGGAACAGCTCCTTGACCCTGCCAGCAGGTTCAACCCACGAATCATAGCTTCAAGAAAGGGAACATGGGACCCAGCAAGCCCTACATCCGAGGGAAGGGGGAGAGGAAAGATCCCATCCGAGGACTGACCGCAACGCGTGCTCAACTGTAGTTCGAACGCTTCCATCAGTGCGGCTAAAATGGGCCCCATGTCTCCCACAACTGCTGAGTTCTGCTGGCACTTCTTTTGGAGCAATTGGCGCAACGTCTCAAAGTCGTTCACCGATGCCTCTGACACTCCAAGCCCCCAAAATGGGGGACCAAACCCTTCGTGCTGCATCCCTCGGCACGGTAACAAAGCCAGTCGAGGACCCGTCGTAGGAAAATTCGTTTTCTCTACATTCTCCGAGGGGCTCCCCTTCAAACGCAGCCGATCGAAGTTGTCCGAGCAAAACTGGGAGCCTCCATCCAGCTCCCCTCCCATCTCCTCTAAGCTGCACATCTGATCCCCAGCAGGCATCATCCTCTGCTCTGGGAGACGGCCCACGCCTGTCTCCCTTGCATTAGTTTCAACCGGCTGGGAGGTGCCTGCGCAGCTCCTCCCCTCCATTGCCACGGTTTCATATACCTGGCCCGGAGTTGGCCGTGGATTTTTTTCAACATCGGTCACTCCCCCAGGTTCATAGCATAGTGCCCTCTCCTGGCAATCCCGCAGCAACTCCTCAATTGCTATCTCATCCTCTGCCTCTATATTTCTTCCGTCTGCCTCAGCCTCTATCTCATGCCATAGCCTTTTCCTCTGATCTCTTTTGTCTCTTCTTGGCGACGTTTCCTCTCTCTCTCCTCTTGCTGTTCCTCCCTCAGTGCTTCCGGCCTTCAACTGTCTGTCTTGCCTTTCTTTTCCCATTTTCCTTTTCCTTTCTTGCCCTTCTCTCCTTTGTCTCTGTAGGCCGGCTCTGAAGATGGAACAGCTTTGCCTCGATTCTTTCCCTCGTTGTCGCCTTTCCTTCCCACGCCATGCGGCCTGGACCCCATAGACTTGTTTCTGAAGTCCTCGCGGGCATGCCTTGCCGCTTCGTAGTTCTCACCTGCCTCCGTCATCGCCACCTGATCTGCTCCAACCAGTTCCAGCTGCCTCGAGACGGTAAAGTGACCGCCTTTGAGCGTCGCCTCAAGCGATTTTGCCCGCTGGACAAGGACGTCCAGAGCAGCAGCCACTTTCCTTCTCAACAGCAAGTCGCTCACCTGTGCCACTGTATTGATCTCCTGCCAAAGCACAGGCGATGCCAGCTGCTTCAGGTGTTGGTGCGCGTAGATGGCGAAGATCGGCCCCAAATGCTCCTTGGCGCTACTGTATATGTCTCCTCTGGCGTTCAGGAGGTGCTCTCTCATGTTTTCGATCGCTTGAAGGGTCAGTGCACCAGGAAACCTCTCATGAAGTCTCTTCACCTTTCTCGTTTCTTCAAATAGGGGTCCCCCATCTTCACTCTCCTCTTCTTCGCTGGTGGAATCGGAGCTGCTTTCATCCTCCTCCGAGCTATCTGACCGCTTTCGCTTCTTATCGCCCCTTTTCTTCATCTTGCGGGCCTTCCTCATCAACCTCTTGCGACGGCTGACGTTGGGGTCCAAGCAGGTGTGGGCGAAGATGGCCCGAGCGGTCTTCTGGCCCTTCTCAAGCGCCTCCAAGCTCTCTTGCGAGGCGAGCTTCTCCTCCCATTCTTTTTCACCTCTTCTCTCCTTCTTCTTTTTCTTTTTCTTTTCCTTCCCGGTCTTCTTGTCCTCCTCAATGTCCTCTGCTCCACCACCTTCAGGTCTGGGAGGCCTCTCTCCTCCCCTTCCCTTGCCTCGCTCTTCTGCTAGCTTCCTCAACGAAGACAACTCATCGAGTTCTGCGACGGCCTTCTCGGACAAGTTCATCTGCCACTCCTTCGGAGCTACTGCGCAATCCCAATAGCCCCGAGCGTGCATCAGCATCCTTCCCGTCTCCAACTGGGCACAGCTGTCTTTGCATAGATGTACCGAAATCCTCCTGTCCTCACCACCGCCGAAGGTCTCCATGATGCGCTCACTCTGAGTGCCAGTGATCACAAAGTCCATGCGCCCTTCACCAGGATGCACGGCAATGACCCTTCCAGCCACCTTCACTGAGGCATTATAATATGAAGCCCTGTCCAACTCAATAACATCCAGATCTGCCAGCTTGTCCATCGTAAGGTCAGACCAAGAATAGAGTTTCTCCACTGGGAGGACCTCCTCCCTTTCCGCAGCGGGTCTTCGTCGAGGTCGGATACGAGGAGCGGCAGCTGCCGGCCTTCGTAGTTTGGGAGCCATTGCTTCCCTTACCAATGGTATCGGCCGCCCCGGCCGCGACTCTTCCTATCCTGAAGCTCTTGCTTTGCCCTCTTTGTAATCCCTTTGTTGGTCCCTTGTGTCCACCTCGGATGGCTGGAATAGGGCACCGGGCCTCTCCAACCTGAACCTTGTGGCTTACCTTTGCCTCCTCCTTTCGATCCTGATGACCTCTCTGGCGGGGGTCGCTCAGGGGTGTGAGGTGACCTGGGTCTCCTCTGAGTTGGCCTCGGTCTCAAATAGGGTTCTCTCTCAATCGCGGGATCCTTTGCTGTGTTCTCCTCTGCTTTCTCCTTCTTCTCCTTTTGGGAGTCTGTCGCCTCCCTTTTCTGCCTGCGGACCTCTGAGCCGCTTACCTCTGCTGATCTTGAATCTCCTCTCCTTCGCCTCCTCTTGTCTTTCTCTTGTCTTCGTTTGGGCGATCTGGACCTCTTTGTACCTTCTTTTTCTTCCTCTCTTCTCCTCGGCAATGGCTTTCTCTCTTCTGTAGACCTGGGAGTGGTCTCAACTCCCTTTGTACTCTCCTCCTTCTCCTCCTTTGACTGCAAATAAGGGGATACCCCCTTCTCCTCAACTGTAGTGTTCGCGCTCGGCTTGGTTTCCTCTGCGTTGCCCTCGACTACCTCCTCCTTTGTCTCGGCTGGTAGCCTGGGAGATGCCTCTCCCTTCTTGTTGTCCGCTCCCGGACTTCCGCTGGGAGCCGCCGCTCCCTTTTCAGGGCTGTCCTCCTCCGGCAGGAGCCTTCCGATGGAGTAGAAAGCCCCGTCCAAGATCTTAGTGACCTTGAACTGTGCCTCTTGCGTAGGAGGCAGCCGGGGGCCGGTTGCTGCAGCTACCAGCCGATGTGCAGAGACGCACACCGAGCAGTCACCAGCCAGAAGTGACCACTTCTGGCAGGTGGCGCAAATGGGCATCCCCTTCAAGCCCAATGCTACGGTGAAAAAGCGTATGGTGTTGTGTTTACTCATGTGGTCATATGAACATACAAAAGTGGAACGCCATACTCCTTACATGTCTGAACAAAGAACACGGCTTCAATTACCTTCGCCCAAAACCCACTGGTTCCTTTCGGTGAGCTGAGGCCGAAACCGAAGCAATGGTCGGCTTTGGGCCATAGACCTGTTCATTGTCTGAGTGCCTCAGGTTTGCAGGTCGAAAGAACATACCATACTGTGCCAATTTCAGATTTCACGCCATTGATTATTGCAGTGGACAAGTGTTGGTCCAATTAATTTTGAAGAGTCTAGGAACCAGCCCATCGCATCTTCCCCATTCCTGATAGCAAGCATTTAAAGGCACTAGCAACATTTAGTTCGTTTGCAGTCTGTCTATCGTGCTTGACTCCGGCCATGGTCAACTGGAACTCCAAAATCTCCCTCCTGTATCTATTGCAAAGAACAGAGTTGAAGCTCTCGCCCGTCATGTTCTCCACAAGTGCCTTGATCTCCTAGCAGCACCCAGCAGACTGCAGTGGCCCTGTGGAGATCCAAAGACAACAAACGTCGAGCCTGGAGAACCGGAGAGCGCGACCAAGGCAACGGCTCAATGATTCGGTTAGAGTACTTGTACGCCTTTTCCTTGGTGTATGCCAAAAAAAACATCAAACACCGCTAAGCATAACACAACAAACTACACCGGCATAGACGCCAAATAGCAACTAACGCTGACAACAGAACTTCTCAAACAAATAACAAATAACCAATCGATTCGCAAAAAGAAATCCAGAGAAGAGGAGAGACAAGTAAGGAGACAAGGCAGCAGCGGCAAACAAAATGCCAAACACGTGAGGAGACATGTAAGGAGATAAGGCAGCAGTGGACCAAAATGCCGATCAGCCACCCAGTCATTGAGAAGTAGGAACCTCTATAGCTTAAAACTTAGAGACAAAGACTTGTGAACTGCTCCACATACCCATGTTTATGGACTGCTCTACGCCAGTCTCTACGGTGCAGCGGCCCCTGAAAAGCTGCTCCGCACCCACTGCAGCTGAGCGACGCCGAAGTAGCAAGTAAGCCTTGGCTCATCATAGTCCTTCCCGAACCTGGAGCCGAGGCAAAAGCCCAGAGCTTATGCCAGCATAGACACCAAATAGCCAAGATATTTTGCGTCTGAAAACAAATCCTCTTTTGCCAAGAAGCACCTTCACTTTACCCTGGCCCCAGGGCAAGCTTTGCAGGCGACGCAGCCAGGAATCCGCCTTGCTCCCGGCAAAGTCAGGCCTTGCTTACAAGCAGACTCGACTGTGTTTCCAAGAACCGCGAATATTCAACAGGAGCAGTCAGGCCTTGCTCGACGAAAAAAGGAACCGTAAAAAAAAACAACAATTGCATCTCTTTTGAACTATATGGACTGTTTGAATAGAATCGTGCCGGCTGTGCACCGGTCCATTTTGCGCAGCTGTTTGGAAATGGTATCCATCACAAATTAGTCTTGCTACAAGAACATCTGGCTTGGCCTGCGGGCCCGCTACACACAAAAACCCTTTTTGTGCAAATGGATTTTCTATCAACCTACTGTGCGTTCTCAAGTTTTTTCCTCCAAATCCAACAGCTGCGTTCCAAGGCAAACTTTGTGCAACGGTGGCATAAGCACACCAGGCATGTACAGTACAAGCATCGTACTGCCAAACAGCTAGCTGATAGCAGAATGTGACTCTGTCATTTTAGAAGTGCTGGTCTGGCAAACCTTTCTGTGTAGTAGGGCCTGCGTCAATGCCAAAAAGGAACCAGACTAAGACTAATGACCACCTTCGCATGAGTCCAGCAAGTTTGGCGGTACAATGGCTCGCATGGTTTTCAACAACTTTTACCTCTGCTTTAGCTTTTCAGCTCGTCAGGCGCATGGGCAAAGTTGCAGTTGGAACCCTTCTGACAGGTTCCCAGCCCAAAAAACCTACCTCAGAGGATCACACAAGCTTTCTACGGACAAAGCAAGAAATGTGCTGTTTAAAAGCCTGCGGGGGGGTAGGCCGCTAAGAGGAAGAGGTAGCTACTAGCTACTACGAGTAGTATGGACGTGGGATAGCTCACGCTTCTTCAAGGAAGCTTCCCCAGCCTGAGGGCGGAGGGTAGCTTCCTTGAAAAAGCGCTCGCACTAATGATTTGGTTCCTAGATTTTTAGGAAGACTCAACTGTATACATGTCATTTGTGTACATTTCATCACACAAGGATTCTACCTATGGACAAAGCGAGAAATGGAGCACAAACTTCCCCAACTTCTCTCTCCCCCTCGCTGACCTGACTCTCTGTGCTGACAAACTGTCGGAATGTTTTCTTTAGAAGCCAAGTGTCACATCTTTGTTTTCCAAAGTCCACCATCTCCGCCTTCTCCGGATCTCACAGGTTTCCCAAGCTCATCAGCTCCATGCGCGAAGGCACATGCATTTCCCTTTGCGCAAAAGCCTCGAGAGTCGAAGAAGCTGCACATCTTGGTTTTGATGCCAGCGCTAGCACCTGGCAACAAGACGTCTTTTGGCGTATCCGATCCTTTCTTTGGGGTGGGCCACAAACGGCCCGTAGCTAGCAGCTAGCACGTGAGTACTTACAAATTAGACCCAAGAGAAAGCAAGGATTCCTTTGTGGATCTTCTGAAACGTCTATCAGCCGACCTCCAAGTGATGGCCAGCTTCCTACCACTTCTTGTCACGTTATGTATTCCTTTTCTTCTACTTGAACCCATGCTTCCCATACCACACATGCCGCCTGCCAGGCCTGCCATTCCGCCATACATGCCACCATCGATGCCATAGCCCTTGCCGCCGAATCCGCCCATCGCGCTGCCCCAGCCCTTGCTGCCCATTCCCATTCCAGCCATGCCACCCATTCCATAGTCCACCATGCCACCCATTTCACCTGGCCGATCCATGCACATGATTGTTGTTTCACCCACGACACCCTACAGCTAATGTTAACGAAATCAACGACTCATGTGACCTGTGGATACTTTTTCGGACTTCGGTCGCTTCGGACGCTTCGGTATTCGGACGTGCCCAAAACAACCTTTCTAGTGGAGCAAATGCCGAGGAATTTTCTGCACGAGCTTTGTTACCCTCAAACAGTGTGTGGAGGAAGTCTGTTGCTTGTCTTGCGTGTCTTGACCTTGCGCAATCGCCTCGGCTTTGGAGGAAGCTGGACATTCTGGTCGAGTAGTCAGGTGACATGCCATACGGACCTGCGGATAAATCCACGAAGCCTGCTTCACCCAACAACTCAAGGTGTTTTCGTAGCTCAAGGCACCTTTCTTTCCTTGTTGTTTAGCCCGCTTCCCCTCCTCCCTACTTAACTAAGTAGGCACCAGGCACCTACTTAATTAAATAAGGGAGAGGTAGCTAGTAGTAGCTAGGTAGCTACTAGTATGGACGCAGGATAGCTCGCGCTTCCTCAAGGAAGCGCTCGCACTAATGATTTGATTTCTATATAGATTTTTAGGGAAACTTAACAACAGCTGTCACCTTTTTCACCAGGAGGCATGCATGAGGAGCGTGAAGTAAGCTCTGCATGAAATCGATTCGTAAGCTACAACTCGCCTGGGGCATCCATTCTGCCTCCACCTTTCAGTCCCTTTCCACCTGCACCGTAGAACGCAGGCTGACATGGTGCACTCATCACAATCAGACTTTCACACAGGCATCGTCCGTCGTCCTGTTGTTGAAGCCAATGTCTCCAAGACCTGTTGTAAGTATGGCCCGAGCCATATCTTCAAGACGGGCATCAATCCTTGTCTCACAAAACTTACCACCTGTGGAATAAAGAAAAAACATAACGTCAGCACGTCAGTCCATTGCAGCCTTCTAGCATCCCCAGCGAGCCTTTTGCTGGATCGCGAGGAGGTGCGTAGATGATCTGTAAAGGGCCACCAACGCCTGGCAGCTCAATCCTTAAGCTCAGCTCAGCACGTGTAAAGGCCACTGGCCGCCAATCTCCCTAAATACTCAGTGTGCTGCCAACAAGAATTCTGGGATCAATTCTTCAGCTCAATCTTGCAACTGCCCATCATGCTGAAGTGCATTTGAGCAGCCCGTTGATGTTCTCAACGATCCATCTCGCCTTGACGTTGCAGCTACACACATGATGGGGAAAACTAAACTGCTATTGCACCTCTTCAAGACTCGCTACGGAAAGGAAACCAGCGGCGGTGCTCTTTCCCGCAGCAACTGGTAACACCTCCAGGGGATGACAAAATCAATTTCCAGCTTGGTCCAAAACTCCTAAATAGACCTGAGCAACATGGCTACATGTGGGTGCACTGCTAGAAAATAACCTTTCAAGCAAAGCCAACTTGAAACAATGACCCAAGCTCACCAGCGCATCAACAAAAGCTCAGAACAAAGTGGACGGTCATACTCCGAACAACGAAGACCGAAGGTACTTTTACAAAATGGAAGATTGCCATCTGGTAAAGGAGCAAAGAAAAGTCTCAAACTTTAGGTTTATGCAGCAAGTAGAGAAAGGTTTCATGCCTACATCAGGTGCCATGCCTTGACACTGGTGATAGCTCCAAACTTGCCAAGGAGTTCCTTTACCGTCTCTTCCGTCGACTGGGCGGGCAGGCCCTGCAGCGAAGCAAACGAACTTGTAGGTCCCGGAAGCATACCCTGGACCGAAGCTCCTCTTATACTTGCTATTTTGGGGGTAGGGGAGAGGGCTTGAAGAAGCCTGAGGAGCTAGCCGCAAGGGGTAAGTAGCAAGGAAGCTACTAGTAGCTGGGACGCAGAAGGGCTCAGGCTCGCCTGACTAATTTGGTTCCTAGAGGTTAGGGAAAACTGAAAAAGTCCCAACAATTTCTCACCTTCACCATCAAGCTCTGCGAAGGTGTCGTTGCCGACATTCCTGGCACAATCAACTTGAGGCCGAGGGTAGGTGACGAAAGCTAGCAGGGGTGCATCCGTGTCAGTGGAGGCGAAGCATACAGCGCCGTCCAGTGACAATAGACTGGTGGGACATCAAGCGGAGTGAGGCAAATCTTTTTTCATAGGCATGGGGCTGTTGGAGGGATGGTTCACAAGGTCTCGCTCATGAGGTAAAACGTTGTGAACATGTAAGACAGACGAACAGCAATGACACAGCCAACCTTAGCTTGTGAATCTGTTGAATCTGTTGCATCGTATGCCAAAACCTCCCAAGAGGTGTCCAAGAGGTGTCCCAGAGGCGTCCCAGGGGGGAGCAGCCCCTCACTTGCTAAAGCAAGGACAACTCCAGCTAGCTGGTGCTAGCTTTCGTGACAAGTGTCAATTGTGTCGTTTCAAATGCACTTTGGCAAAAATAGCCTTTAAGGCTGCGCAACTCCTGGACAAGCTAAACTACGTTAAATCTGGGCGTGGATTCACAGTCCTTCAGCAGGTGCAGCGAACAGCTCTGCTCACTAAAGCATTAAGCCGCAAGGCTTGAGAACAAAATCCTCTGCAGTTCCTATATCAAAATGCGAAAATGCAAACATATAACATATATATATATATGACTCCAACCTACTAGCGATATATGCAATCTGTTTCCCTTTCCGTATTGGTTGATGAGTCTCAACTAGAGTCAAAATTCGTAAGCGCGCGACCAGTATTGCAAAAAGCTGCCATTGGAATCCAGTATACCATGAAAGGCTCCACCGGTAAGCTGCTCCTGGGATAGCCGGTGACCTTGCAAGTGTCTTGCGGAGTCAAAGGAAGAGGAAGGCTTCGATGGAACAGTCTGTGTACGCTACCGCAGGTCATTGCACACTTCAGTTCTTCACCTCACCTCCTTGCTTGACTGAAGCTGGCTTGCGGCGCGCCACCATGGAAACAGTCGGCAATGTATCGGAGATCGGAGCTTGCTGCCTCGGCCTGAAGAGCCCACGACCTATTACAAGAGAATAGTCGAGTGATGACTGCAGTTGGCTTGCAGAAGCCAACTGCGTTTTGAAGTTGGAATGCACCAGGCAAGAAGCAAAACTTATTCTATGGGTTTCTTCCTCCCAGGGTCTGGAAGCTTCTTGGAAGAACCTCGCTGACTGAATCGGTTGTTACTACCGCATTTGAACTTTAGGACATATTTGTACTTCTGCTTGTGCACTTGAGCAGACTTTGTGCTCCGAGCTCACAAATGACAGCAGCATGTAGGGAGGAATGAAAGAAAACTTCCATGGGGTCCAAGTCTTCTGTGAAGACCTCAAGCCAGAAAATGTCCCTACAACCTCCAGTACACCTAAGAATATAACGAAAGTGC